AGGAAAAGATATTCTTAATAAAGTCCTTAACAAAAATAAATATGTCACTAATAATATCCTTAATGAGATGAAAGCAATGGGTTTCTGGTTTTATTAAAGGACTGAGTTTACCAAATGTTAGGCTTTTCAGACAACATATTTGAGGGCTTGAACATTGTCATTATTCTCCTTTCTGACATGAAAGTATACTAATTTGAGTGGATAGACTGGTTGCAGAGTGCATGGGGCAGAAAGTTTCATGGACTAGTGGGTAAAGGATAATACTGCAGATAGAGCCCATTGACTGAAGAATTCACTTCAGCTATCGCTTATGCCAGCTAATCCTTCATTTTTCAGTAGGAAGCATGATCCTTGAGGACCTCACACCACCCACTTGAATAATACCTCCCTTGCAAGGGAATATACAACAAAACTTCCTCCTAACTGGCATTTATTTGGATTTTCATAGCATTCATTAAAGTGCTTTCCCAGGGCAATCTGTCATAAAGATCTCATTCCACTCCACCCCCAAATACCAACTTTATGAACTATCTCAAACTTCTCTGAAGGATCAGTTTTTTAGATTTCAAGAAATGGTCCAGTTCAAATGCAAAAATTTTTAGTTGCGGGCACAGTGATGAAATGAGAGGCCATTTGGCTCATTCTTGCTGACTGGTGGCAGAACAGGTACACCAGACCCAGTCTAACTGTCACCTTCTCTATAAACTTTTCCTTATCCTCAACCACTCCCTTCCCTGAACTCACATGACCTTTTCACCTACCTCTAGTATGACCCTTGTGCTATACCATCAACTTTATTTTGTATTGACCAATTTTTACATCTATTTTTCCACTGTACTTTGAGTTCCTTAAGGAAAGGCATACAATGTTACTCATGCCTACTACTACATAGCCACTCAAAAACTATCAGAGAAATGAATTCATAAATGACCAGAGTTTTTCCGTACCACCTTCATCATGCCTGCTTGTCTTTCCCATTTATAAAATGAAGATTGTGTTGATGTGTTTCTCAAGATAATTATGTAGTTACACATGATTGCTAAGGGCTTCAAGATCATAAAAAAGTGTTATAAATGCCAACCATGATTATAACCTTTTGAAACAATGGGATACACAGTTAACAAGTGGAAGGAGATGAGACATAGTAAGTAATGCGTCTTATCCATTCTCTATTTCTATCCCCACTCACCACCAGATAGTAACTCAGAGGTAAAAACATACACTTGCACTAAGGGAAGAGGGTTTAACTAGGATCTGGATAAGATTATTAGGAACTATGCCACCACACTGCCATCAAGAGAGGAGGTGCTCAAGTCTGACAAGAAGGGTCCAGGAAAAGATTTCCTACATATATGGATATCACCAATTCACTATTGAAATGGAGACTCAGCTGAAGAAGGTATTTGGTCTTATGTATTCAAAACTGGTTGGCCCCATTTGCAGATAGATGAGAGAGTTAAAAGAGGGATTGGTAAGGTAGAAAGATAGTCAAACCCTACTCTATCCTGAATCTGCTTTGTGGCTGTTCTACCACGGAAAGGAAGGGCAGGGCATGTCTTATTCACCTTTTGTTCCCTCTTCTCCCAAATGTATTATATAAAGTTGCCACAAAAGGTGTGTTATATGTTTAATGGATGGAGTATACAGATTTTCCTCCCCAGCAATGTGATAGGGGAAAAAAAAAGATGATAGAAACATCTCGTTTGGTTATTTTTATTGTGGGCCCTTAACAAGATTTTTTGAAGCCAGAGGTGACTCATTAACCCAACTTTCCATGTAGCTGATGCCATCTATTGTAGAGCAAACCAGGATCAATGATCAGATTGTTCCCAACTTGACATTGTCTGGCCTCAGAGGTCAGCAGTGGGAACAGAAGACATTGTAATTTACAGGGAGGAGAATGTAAGGGGGAAGTGCTGACACAATGAATCTGCAACTCTAACCTAGCAGCGAGCTCAAAGAGTGGTTGATATTACTTGTTTTGATGTGTTTGAAGAAATCGACCATGTCCAGAACAAAACGGGCCCTTATGTCTTATGGTGTAAACATCAAATTATCTGGGAGTGGAGGATTTGTGGGTGGGCTGCTGGGACTTTGTGAGGATGTCACTTCACATCACAGGCTTCTTGGCAGGAGGTAGAGAGAGATCATAGCCATGAACTTGAGGTTTGGAGTTTTTGCCAAATGGTTCTTCTCTCCCTAAAGAATTCTGGATGTGGAAACAGTCCAATGTGCTCCCACTTCACAACCATTGTCACTCACCTCAGAACGTTTCATGCGTTGGCACAAGGAACTGGTGAGGTGGCCCCCATTCCTTTCTTGACGTCAGTGAGGGAGTCATTCCCTGTGACTGTCTTACGTGAAATAATTCAACATTGGTACTTTAATTAAAATTCAGAGGCATATATTATTAAAGGGTACTGACTCATTCCATGGCTTCTCCTCAGTTGGATAAGTGCCAAACATGTTACCTATCTGTTAATGAAGGAGAGTGCATTAAAACTAAGGTTTCCTTGTCAGAGAATGGCCATTCTGGGCTGTGAAGAGAGCATTTCACTCATCCAGAGTATACTCTGTCCTGAGTCAGTCTTTTCTAAAGAAGAAATTTAAGTTCAAGATTCTTTCTACCTTTGAGGAAGAGACAAATGAGAGCTGACTAGAATCTTCTTCCCTTTTGCGAGCTTCATAAAAGCAGTACCAGGTACAAAGTACTTACTAAAAAAAAAAAAAAAAAAAGGAGCTGAATCAAATGGAATAATATTCACCTGCATTCAATGCATCTCAGAGGAGAGAAGGGGAAATACACCACCACGTATTAGTCAGCAGGGGAATTAAAGAGGAGAAAAACTTTTCTTGATTTTATAAAATCAAACTTTTTTCTTCACACTGATTCATTATTTTATACTTAATATGCCTGGGAGCACGGCCGGGGGAGCAACAACTCTACAACCTTGGTGCCGTTTTCTCCCTTCCAGACCAAAAGATGTGCTTCTAGCACAGACATGAACACTAAAGTCCGGTAGCCACAGAAAATCACTTCATGTCACTGGTCTCTGTTTTCTCAGTTACAAAATAGGCAGCATAACCCATGCCTAAAATATTCCCCAGGGTTCCTGGTGTGTGAACGTGCTTTGTGATAATATAAGCATTCAATACAATAATATGAGTGAAAATAAAAGCTTTGTGAGCTGCAGGCTTTTCACAATAGAGTGGGAGAATCACCAAGGTTAATGGTGGTTCCCCAAGTGACACAGATAGAGAGAACTAGTTTGAAACATTGGGCTTTTTAGCCTAGGCTGACTCAAGACATATAGCCCTTTTGTGTGAGGTCGGAAAAGGCACACTTTCTAGATAGACATAGTCTTGCAGGTCTCCAGATTGGTGAGCAAACACCATCTTTGGCCAAATAGAAAAAGGCACCACCTCCTCCAGGTGAATAAAGCCCCACACCAGGAGTTCAGCTCCTAGTGCATCCCCACATCCCCAGGCATTCTTGCATAACCAAATTCAACAGTCCTGGTTTTAGCCCTGGCTCTGCCTGTTTGAATTCTGTAACCATGGGATCATCGTTCCCATCTCTGAGCATTAGTTTCCACCCAAGAAAGATGAAGTTACATTGTGATTTCTACACCCCTTCAGCCCTTAAAGCTACAAAAATTCAAGTGGCTTTTTCCATTCTGCTACACAGGGGACTGTATAGCATACAGATTGAAATTTCTGAGTTTTTTTTTTTTTAAAGATCATCTGATGACACTCCCTAAATGTTTGAATACAATTATGTATGGTTTGATGTGGAGCAGATTAAAAAATAAATGCTTTTGTATATTACATGATGTTCCTGGTGTAAAGCAACATGGTTAACCTGCAAAACAGGAATGACTGTTCTGTATTGCCAGCCAAAGGCACAAGACATGGATTTAACACAACAGCAGCTATGAGGGCTTCACTCGCTTTCTGTGGGACTGCACGTCAGAATCTGTGCTGAAGTCCCCGCCCCTCCCTGAATGCCCATTGCACCCAGGAAGCAGGAACTACAAGGAGTCAAAAATGGTTTCTTTGTTGATGCCTTGTTGCCAGAAAACAGAAATTAGATCCTAGCCCAGATCCTCCTATCAGCAAATCTGAGTGCCAGCAAGCTCTTCACAGTGGGAAAACAAATAACAATTTACCTTTGTAAAGCTCAAGAACTGTTAGCCCTAAAATTGGGTGTAAGGTTTTAAAAACACACGCACACACATATCAAATCCACTCACCACTCTCAAAATGTTAGCAGAAATAAATTTGATTGCACTTGGAAATATTTATAAATTGGTTTGGGTTTGTATTTGTTTTGTTTTGTATTTTGAGCAACAGGGAGGGCTTCTGGAAACAAAACGAATTCTGTCATTTTCAGAGAAAGAAGTCCAGAGTCAGAGAAGGAAGTCAGAGAAGTCCAGAAAGAGAAAGAAGGTAGCTCCAGGTCACACCGCAGGACATATCTGATAGGACTGGGGTTACAATTGAATGCTCTTTCCACTTTCCCATGTTGAAAACATAACCACAAGGTTCCATGAAAAACAGATGGCACCCAAGTCACTATAGCTCAATTTTTTGGTTTCAAAGGATGAGTGTTTTTATCATTGACCAAGACTGTAAACAGCAGAAAGCAGCTTTTCTCTACCACGGCTCATCACAAAGGCAGGTGAACTCACACTGGCTAATAGCACAGGCTCCTCTAGGTTTGAACAACCCTAGGCACCCTGAACAATGTCTTTGCAGTGTGCTCCTTGGAATGAGACCAAGAATCAGGCATTCTCTGCATCAACGCCTCTGTTTGCTAGCCATTGCTGTTCTTCAAAAGCAGCGTCCCCACCTTTTTGGGGGCCCTAGAATGCAGGCACCGGCAACAAAGGTTAGGTCCAATGTCACCCCTAGATTGTCCGAAAAGTTCCTGTGGGATCACAAAACCATTATGTGAAGATAAACTGAACATTTGGGAGAAGAAAAATAAATGCCAGATACTAAAATAAGGCTCCCTTTATTAAACATATCAGACACAAGCACGGATCCATGTGCTGGATAGCAGCAATGAGGAGGGGCCCCCCAAATATATGCAGATGACAACTAGAATCAATCAGAAATTTATTTTTCTTACTTAAGTACAAAATGCCCCTTTTCACCAGTGGACACCGCTCACAGGCATCTTGGCAACGGTGTCCTGATCCATGTGGCATTAAAGATTTTCTTCCAAAGTCACTGGGGTGAAAAGTCACTCTACTTCAATGTCTCCATGACCATTTGAATGTACAAATCCTAGGGCAGTTCTTTCTGAAGTACTGTGAAGGGTGAATTGAAGCTTCCAGTGTAAGTTTATTCTCTGGCGAAAATACCAGAGTCAAAAATTCCACTCAGGCCCTGGAAGGACTGGAGGCCCTTCTGTATCCCAGTAATCAACTGAGAGTTTCTTTCCTGGAGTCTGTACGATCCTGATGCCCATGATACCTGAGGCAGCATGGACTCTGCTAGGGGATCCTCAGACCCAAAGTTGAGCTGGCTCTGAGAGTCAGAGTTGACGGCTGGCAGCACCATTAGAGTGTATGGCTGACAGGCATACAGCAAGGAGGGCTTTCAGAAACCAAGCACACACTGACTTTAGAACTGGAGCATGCCTGAGAGTTACAGTTTCAAGAATTAGCTTATTCTGTTTGAGCTTTTGGATCGGCAGTAGATTAATGTGTGTGTGTGTGTGTGTGTGTGTGTGTGTGTGTGTGTGTGTGTGTTTTGGGGAGGGCATGGCTGGGCTTTGATAGATGAATTGGTGAAAAAATAAGAGAGTTGAGTGTGCATCTGTAGTCCCAGCTACTGGAGAGGCTGGGGTGGGAGGATAGCTCAGGCCCAGGAGTTTGAGGCTGCAATTAGCTACAACAGTGCCTGTGAATAGCCACTGCACTCTATCCTGGGCAACATAGCAAGACCCGGTCTCTAAAAGGGGCGGGGGGCGGGGGAGAAAAGAAAAGAAAAGAAAGATAGACAGAGTGAAGAAAAGTAAGCATCCTTAGGAACAGAAGGGAGATCTGATGACACATATTAACCTGTTAATTTATACCATGGCTCTGTACAAAAATAAAAAGGTTCTCATAAGATTAACAATTAAAATAAATATCTGATAGAACATTCTCATTTTTATAGTTCATCTTTAGGGTTGATATTCAGTTCCTGCTTCCCTTGCTGTTCTTGATCCAGGATTGCAATCACTTCATCAGCCTGTATTCGCTCCTGCAAAAAAGACAATTTATACATTTCGGTCACAAGCATAGTAATCAGTCTCGGCAGCAGATGCTTCCAAAACCCTTCCTGGCATCCATTTGTACATGGGTTGGTGCTAAAGCCAGCTAATGATAACCTCATCTTCATCCCAAGACCGGTGCCTTCTCCTGGCATTCTTATGTCCTAAACAATTACTTTCTAAGATTTCGCTCCTGCGAAGTATAGTCTGTTCAACTGCTTACTGCCCTTTCTACTTCATGGGCCCGTCAGCATCTCCAGCTCAGTTGAGTGTTCAAACTGAATTCATCATTTTCTCCCCACACACCTATTCTGTTCTTCCTATAGTCTCTCCCTCAGTAAAGACCAGCGCTGTTCACCCATCTGCCTTAAAAGCCTGACTATGGTTTCTTGTAACTGATAAGTCATCTAGTCTGTTCTTTCTCCTGTCTTTGTCCTTCTCTCATCAACGCACATTACTTTTGTTTCAGTTTAGGTCAGAATTTCTCAATCTTGGCACTACTGGCATTTTAGACCAGATACTTCCTGTTGTATGGGCTGCCCTGTGCACTGTAGGATGTTCAGCAACATCCCTGGCCTCTTTACCTTCTACAGGTAGCCAGTTAACACCTCCCTCTATGCTGTAACAACCAAAAATGTCTCCAGATACTGCCAGTGTCCCCTAGAGGGCAACACTGCTTCTTCTTGAGAGTCACTGGTTTAAGCCTTCATTGCCTCTTGAGATTGCTGCAGCAGCCTCCAAACCAATCTCCCTGTTTCACTACTCACCCCCACATGCTTCCAATGCATTCTGCTCACTTCAGTCTGCCCATATCCCTTTCCTGCTCTCAACCCTTTGATGGGTTCCTATTGCTTGAAGTTCCAGGCCCTACTTTCTTGGTGTGCTTGCTTACAAGGAGCTTCCCGACTCATACCTTTCTCTCTTCTTAGCCTTATCTTGTCTTCTTTCCTCTTCTCACCTTATACTCTAATTTTCTGATTTACCTTAGTTCTCTGAATACAGCACTTTCAAAAGAATTTCCTAGTCCTAGTCTGGATTAAATGCTTCTGTGGATACTCCCATTGTATCATATATTTTCTCTTGCCCTCCATATCAATCCATCAGCAGATCCAGTTGGTGTATCTCTTTGAGATCTTTCACCTTCTCTACTATTACTGTGGTCTAACCCCCACACGTTAACTAAAGTGACCTACGTATCCTGTAACTCCTCAGGACTAGGCAAGGTGTGTGGGAGCCACATCGACCTCCCACCAGTTAGAATAACATTCACATTTCTCAACTGGCCTGTAGAATCTGGTTCTGTGCCCTCTTCATACTGCCCTCCCTCTCGTATGCCATGTTCCAGAGCTCCGGCCTTCTTTGTTTGTTGACCGTTTCAAGCTCCCTCTTTCCTCTGGGCTTTGCAATATGTCCTCTGCCTGGAAAACTCCTCTTCAGACATTTATCTTAGTTGATTTCCTGTCACTCAGGTTGCAACTCACATGTTGCTTGTTCAAGGAGGCCTCACAGTTTGTCTCCCCATCCCTTTACCCTTAAATCAGTTGCCTTGTTCCATTTTCCACTTGTCATCAATCATGACCTGACAATCTTTTGTTTATTTTCATTTTTATTTTTTTTTTGAGTTGGAGTCTCACTCTGTCGCCCAGACTGGAGTGCAGAGGCCGCTCCCGGCCACCGCAGCCTCGACCTGCTGGGCTCCTGCGATCCTTCCGCCTCAGCCTTCCGAGTAGCCGGAATTACAGGTACGCGCTACTATGCCCGGCTGATTTTTTGATTTATTGTGGAGATGAGGGCTTGCCAAGTTGCCCAGGTGGGTCTCGAACCCACGGGTTCAGGCAATCCACTCACCTCAGCCTCCCAAAGAGCGGGATTACAGGCTGAGCCACAAAGCCCGGCTGTTTATTTTTATTATTGTTATGTATTTGTTGTCTGTTTCTTCCTGCTCGAATGTAAGCTCCATGACAGCAGGGACTCACCTTCTTGTTCACTGCTGTATTTCCAGTGATCAGAAAAGTTACTGACATTTGGCAAAGGCTCCATTACAGCTGATGAATAAATATATAATTGGATGAAGGCTTTTTCTGTCTAAAAATGCCTCTTCCTAGAGAAATCTTACTCATTCTTTAAAGCTTTTTTCAAATGTCACCTCTTCAATAAAGCCTTTTCGATTGCTTCTTTATATCCCCAAATCATGCTTTTTTTTTTTTTTTAGTTGGAGTCTCACTCTGTTGCCCAGGGTGGGGTACAGTGGCACATTCAAGGCCACCGCAGCCTCAACCTACTAGGCTCAGGTGATCCTTCCGCTCAGGCTTCCAAGTAGTTGGAACTACAGGCATGTGCCACCATACCTGGCTAATTTTTTGATTTACTGTAGAGTTGAGGTCTCACCAAGTTGCCCAGGCTGGTCTTAAACCTATGAGCTCAGGCAATCCTCTTGCCTCAGCCTCCCAAAGTGCTGGGATTATAGGCGTGAGCCACCATGCCAGGCCCATGTGTTTTCTGATAAGAATTCTTACCAGACTTTGCCTTTGTGTGGCCCTATATTAACTCTCCAATTTGACTTCAAGCTGCTTGACAATAGAGGTTATGTCTTTTCCTTACCATCCTCTGGATGTTCTTAAATATATTACTGGAATAAAATTATTTAGAAGATTTATTTTTTAAAGTTTAATTATTATTTTTATTTCAGAAAAGTGGAGCACAATTCAGTGTTACATACATAATTGGGGGTTATGTCTTATGTAGTGTGCATCACCATAGGAAGTCTCTAGCACAGTGCTCAGCATGGTAAATTTAAAAATATATATATATTAGGACTTGAAAATGAAACCCCTTTCATGTAAGAGCTTGTAATTAAAAATGATGTTGACATAAAGGTAACTTTTATAAAAGGACCAAATATACAAAATAACGGAAGACTAAACTGTCTTATCTAAGTAAAAAGGCCTAAGTAGTACTTTATGAATATAGTGAAAAAATCTCAAATGATTGACAAATTGACACACATACAAAACTTTCACATCTTTTGACCACAAGAAACTATTACAATCATGTCTCTCATGAAGAGAACCAATATATATGAAGCTTCTAGTCTTACTGCATCCTTAAGAGTTTATGTTGCTAAGTTCTCGAGAGTTGAGTGCCTTTGAAGTAATTCGTAATAAGATGGGGATCTGCCAGCTATAATGACTTGTTCGTAGACAGGCTTTGGGGACTCAGGGATTCAATCTGAGAAAAGGTGTCTAAGCCAGGGATTCCCAAACTTCGCTGCACGTTAGAATCACCTGGGGAGTTTTTAAAACTCTACATATGCAGATAACACCCCAAACCAATAAAGGCAGGAGCCAGATGTTAGTAGTTTGTAAAGATCCCAAGATGACTTCCATGTGTAGCAAAGTATTTGAATCATGGAACAGGCTAAATTAGTTGCTGAAGAGGCTCTGGTCATTTCCTGCTGTGGCCACTAGATGCCACTACTGCCTGAAACCTGGAGACGTTTCCTAGTACTTTTCCATCAGAGGGGATATTAGTTTTCTAATTAGAAAGGAGTACAGAGAACTTACTTTGTGTTAACGTATTCTGATGAAACAATATCTCAAAAGAAAGAGTTCGCATACTGAATAACGAAATAGATTAAAAGTCTGCTAAATGAAATGCTAAAATAATAAGGCAATTTTCCAACAATTTTTGTATCTTTGCTGTCTACTTATTTACTTAGGTTCCTCAGTTAAAAACGTGCTTTGAGTTCCTATGCTGGCCTTTTGGAGATGGAAAACACATGGAAAGAAAAGAATTACAGGTGAAGGAGATTGGTTTAGTACACCCTAGGAGTCTGCAAAACTCGGTGTTCTGTTTCCTTTGTTAGGTCCATTCTTTCTCCATGTAGGCCTGGTCATCATCTTCTCTTTTAGGTCTGAGCTTACATAAGTCTTCTTATTGCCTGTTTACTTGTCGATCTGTCCAAGCTCCAAGCCAAGGGACTATGTTTTGTCCACCCTTTTACTCTTAAAACCTACCTAGCAGAGTTTCCCAGGCACGTAATAGGTCTTTTATAAAATAATAGGTCTTTTGTAAAATATTTTTAAAATGCTTAGGGAATGTGGGCAAAATATTTTCTGAGTTTGGTTTGATGGTAAAAAGTATATGACAAAAAGACATTATTTTGAAACAGGCTCTGATAAAATCGAATTCAATTTAGAGACCTAAAGAGAAAAATTGGGTAGAATGTGTGAAGTTATTATATATATATTATATAGGTTATATATATACATTATATAGGTTTTTGTCCACAATTTCTGGTTCTAACTCGCACAGCCCTTATCACAGTCTTTGTTATAATGTTGGGTGTGTCAGGCCTCAGGGTTGGCCTCAAAAACAGAATGCCTCCTACCTTCTCCTGCCCTCCTTTCATCCGCCCTGAGGCAGGACTCTGATCTTCCTGGCCTTTCTGATTGAGGGCCACAAGACCCTCTCTAGAAGGTGTCTCACCCTATACCCTGAGGGAGAAATGCTGACATCTGAAGCCTCCATTAAAACCCAAGAGAGGTGGATTTGGAGAGCATTCCATAGTAGAACATGAAGAGACTCCCAGAGGGTGGTGTGCCCAGGGATGGCATGGAAGCTCTGTGCCCCTTCCCCCACACTTCACCCTATGCATCTCTTCATCTGTATCCTTTGCAATATTTGTAATAAACCGGTAAATGTGTTTCCCTAAGTTCTATAAGCCTCTCTAGTAAATTTGTCTAACCCAAAGAGGGGGGTCGTGGGAACCCCAATTTGAGGCTGGCTCAGTCAGAAGTTCCAGAAGCCCAGGCTTGCGACTGGTGTCTGGGGTTGAGGGGTACAGTCTCTAGGTAGATAGTGTTGGAGTTGAATTAGAGGATACCAGCTGGTGTATGTCCCTTGGTGTGTGGGGTGAAAAAAGTCCCACATTTGGTCACAGAAATCTTCTGTGTTCATGATTATTGTGGTGTGTGACAGCAGTAGAGAAACATGGATTGAGAATTTTCCTGTAACAGAATGCCATTTATAAAAAACAGAATTTCATAGCTTCGTCAACACTGGGGGCTGGAGAAGACTTTGAAGTCATCCAGTTCAGCCCCTGCTATGATGCTTCCACTTTAATTTCAGTGTTCCTTGCTAAGCAGTTGCCTAGCTTGATTGTAGCCATACAATCCAATTTCCAAAGAGACAATTCTACCAAACCGTGGCAACTATTTAAAAGTTATCCCTCATGTTGAGCTCAATTTTCCCCCATTGGTCTTACTTAAGTAATGTCTTTGTAACTTCAAAGATAGAGACTAGAATACCTGCCCAACAGAGGTGGAAGGATCGCCTGAGCCCAGCAGGTCGATACTGGGGAGGCCATGAGTGTGCCACTGTAATCCTGTCTTTGCGACAGAGTGAGACTCCAACTCAAAAAAAAAAAAAAAAAAAAAAAAAAAAAAGAATATCTGCCCAAGGGCATTTAAAAGGATAAGACCACGTTTTTATCTATATCTATATCTACTTTTTTGAGTCTGAGTCTCACTCTTCTTTTACCCAGGCTAGAGTACAGTGGCACGCTCATGGCTACTATAGCCTCCATCTGCTGGGCTCAGGCGAATCCTCCACCTCTGCCTTCCAAGTAGCTGGAACTATAAGGTGCACGCCACCATACCTGGCTAATTAAAAAAAAAATTTTATTGTAGAGATGACATCTTGCCAAATTGCCCAAGAAGGTCTCAAACCCTTGGGCTCAGGTAGTCCTCCCGCCTCTGCCTCCCAAAGTGCTGGGATTCCAAGTATGAGCCACTGCACCTGGTTAAGACCATGTTCTCCTATCCTAAGTACCCTCAACTCAAATATAAATAATAATACTCGGCGATTGTAGTAAATCATAATGATCTCTCAGGTTCCCTTGCCCTCTTTCACATATGCTTCGTAAATGATTCAATGCTCTTTTTAATGAATTGTTGAGAAAACAAATCTTTTCTCCAGTGACCAGCAGAAAATAATTCCTCTCTCTTGGTGCTACAGCTTGTTAATTAGTTTGAGACTGATTACTCACTGCCAAATCTTCCTGACACGACTATCTCCGAAAAATATCTTCACTCATCAGAACACACCTGATTAAGAATTGCCTTCATAACTCCGTTTCTTTTCCTCAGATTCACACTACAAAAATTAGATATGTGATTGCTGGGTCACGGATCTAATCAGAAAAATTTGCTCTTGGCTTAGAAAACAGTGCCAGTGTTGGAAATCAGACAGGACCTGTAAAAGTTTTGTCTTGATCTCTAAGCTCCCAGAAGGGTTATGGAACAATTTAAAGGACATTTCAGATATATCAGTTTATGAAGAAAGCCTGATGGGCTTTCTGACTGGGTCAGAAACTTACCAATTCTCTATAAAGTGGGTCCAAGGTGAACCACAGAGCCACTGCACACCTCTGGCCCTTGGTGACGGCTTTTACCCCATGTGGGTTCTCTCCCCCAGATGAGAAGCTGATCATACGCCCACACTTTGGCTTTATAGAGGCCTGAGAAAGAAAGTAAAATTAAACTTTTAATTCTTATGTCATGAACATTTCCACAACCCCTTGCTTCTAGCCTTCTATGATGGGATTATTTGAGTTAAGTGTTGAATCAAAGAATAACGGAATTCTGGAGTTGAAGAAGATATGGATTGTCTCAATTTTCTCACCTGTAGAACAAAGATAAGGTCAAAATATCTACCTCAGAAACTAAAAATTTTTCACTGGGTACAGTGCTCATGCCTTTAGGAGCAGCACTTTGGGAGGCAGAGGAGAGAGGTTTGTCTGAATTCAGGGGTTCGAGACTAGCCTGGGCAACTTGGCAAGACTTCGTCTCTACAATAAATCACAAAACTAGCTGAGCATGGTGGCATGTGCATGTAGTTCCAGCAACTTGGAAAGCTGAGGCGGAAGGATCGCCTGAGCCCAGCAGGTCAAAGTTTCGGTGGCCATGAGCATGCCATTGCACTCCAGCCTGGGTGACAGAGTGAGACTCCACTGGAAACAACCAAACAAAAAGAGAAAAGAAATGAAATGAAAAATTTTGAAGTAAAATGCGTAGCAAAGTCCATGCACATAGTAAATGTTCAATATGTTGTATGTTGATAGCCCCCAAACTCCAAGAAGGCAAAGGTTCTTTCTTTTAATTCACTTCCTTAGTTTAGCACCAGTGAAGAATCTGGATTCAAGGTAGACATACATTCCTTATTTGTGGAACTAAAACAAAACAAAAAGACATCTGGAGTGCTGGAGGACATCTGAGTAGTGGTTCCATGGTACACACCCATTTTCATTCCTAAATTGTGCATTTATGGTTTAGATACTTTTCTCAATGCAAAGATTTGAACAACTCAAGTCTAATTCCATGTGACAGCTAATTCCCTTTACGATATTCCTTCCTAGTGGTCATTTTGGCATTGTTTGAATACCACCAGTGATGAGAATGTAACATTCTGTGGGGTGGCCTGATCCATGGCCTCCAAGTGTTTTAAAATGATTGACACAGCACTTCCAATCTCGAACCCTGCTCAGGTGAAGCTGCCCATATTGCTTAGGTACAACAGTGTAGTGAGAGAAAAATAAATACCACCGGGTGCACCGAACCAAGGCAGAAGATCAAAGAAGCGGGATCTTCAAGTTGAGCGAGTTTACACAACTGAATATTAGGGACCTTGCTTCTGTGTTTAAAGAAGTGTCTGATGGGAGCAGAGTCCATTTTTCTTTCTTGGGAAACCCAGGAACATTACTCATTCCATAGCAGAGCTTAGAAAAGGAAAGTAAAAGCAGAAAAATGGTACCAACCATTCTACTATGTGTTAAGATGAGCCCAGCCCAAATAGCTGCTTTTTTTTTTTTTTTAAATTTTAAAGACGTGGGGTACAATCCAGGGTTAGGTATACAAATGTTCATTATGCAGGTATCCCTGTTGATGAGGTGTGCCTCTCCCTTCTCCGGCAGTTTCCCTCAACTACTAATCCCTTTCTTATAGTATTATGATAATTGTTCAAATTCCGCTTATGAGTGAGAACATACGGTACTCTGTTCTTTGTTTCTGTGATAGATCACTGAGTATGATCGACTCTAAATCCATTCAAGTTGCTGCGAAGTCCATATGTTTGTCTTTCTTTATGACTGCATAATATTCCATTGTATATATGTACCACATTTTAAAAAATCCAGTCCAGCTTCAATGGGCAGCGTGGTTGGTTTCATGTTTTTGCTATTGTGAATAGAGCTGCAACAAACATGCGTGTGCAGGTATCTTTTTGGTAGAATGACTTGCCAACTAGCTACTTTCTTAATCAACTTGGGTTGATGCATGCCTATTCAAAGAAGCTTTGGTTTTCTTCTGCATTAAATGAGATGGCTGTTTTTTCACTGCTGGCTTCAGGAGGAATAGTTAAAAAATTTCCTGAAGTCCTTGGATGCCACATATGTGATTACATATGGAAGGTCAGAAGTAGGAGTCAAAAAGCCACAGGCCTAGGCATGTGCACGTGTGTCTTTGTATGTGTGTGTATGCGTGAGTGTATATGTATGTCTGTGTGTGCCTCTGTGTATACATGTTGGTGTGCGTATCAAAGACCAGAAAAAAAATAGGGTCTTGTTATTTTTCTGTTTACTGCAATTCAAGAGTGATCTGTCTTTGCGAGAGTTACTTTTGGTTTTTTTGAGTTGGAGTCCCACTCTGTCACCCAGGCTGGGGCCACCACAGACTCGACCTGCTGGACTCAGGCGATCCTTCTGCCTCAGCCTTCCAAGTAGCTGGAATGTGCGCCTGGATAAGTTTTATTTATTTATTTATTTTTGATTTATGGTAGAGAAGAGGTCTCACCAAGTTGCCCAGACTGGTCAAACCTCTGAACTCAGATAGTCCTCTCATCTCGGCCTCCCAAAGTGCTGGGATTACATGCTTGCACCACCATGGCCGACCATGAAAGTTACTCTTTTAAGCAGCTTTATCAGGGAGGCTTTTCTGATGTGTAACTCTAGAGAGTTCGCTAGCTACTGGTGCCCTCAGTATCAATCTGGTTCTATTTTTCTGGACAAGCAACTTGTACATTTCCACATAGAAACAGCAGAATAAACTATTTGTAAAGCCCATGAAGTAGAACAGAAAAGGTTTCTGAGGAAATGACCTTGGTGTCTAGAGTTTCAGGTTTTCTAGGCTGCTGGCTCCCTGGTGCTGGTCAGGACTCACTCAGCCATACATTTGCCAGGGTTTCTGTGTGACAACCAAGTCTTGGTAACATATAATATATAGAAAGAGTGTGGGGACAATTTAATATTTTCTCTCCCATGGAACTGGAAGAATTGAAAGTGTCTTTAAACACGAAGAACTTGGGGAAAGTTAAGGAAAAGAAGCTATCAACTAACTGCCTGAAGCAGTTGGAATTGATTGCAGGTGTGGGTTCACAAGCATCTCTAGGACTCATCTCAACAACACGGAGCCTCATCTGTTACAGATCAGGTATGTAGAGGAATAAACAAGCTTCAGTGTTTTACATATTTGTGTAAGTATGTATACATTTGTGACATTGTTTCTACAGAAAAATATGCTATGAAGTTTAGATTAATGATTGCAAACATACTTTTTGAACATGGCCCCTTCATACCGAATTTAACTTTTCATGAAGCAAGTGGAACTTATTAAATTTTATCTTCTTCAAACTTGCATGGAGAAACTCAGATCCCTAAATTCCCATGTCTCACAAGTAAAACAACCAATGTATCTTCCAAGTATCATATTTTCCAAGTATAACAGAAAATTCCTTTTGCTTTTTATCTGACTGATCACTGTCAGAGAAACATTTGTGCTGTACTTGTCTTGAATAAATGTAAAATTTCAGCTATCATTCAGATAATTATATATACATTTTCCAGATTTTTCCAAAGTAAGGAACATAGAAGACTTTACTTTCTTGAATGGTCCCAAGTTAGGCCATTTCCCTGCTCCATTTGTCCTTCCACAGTCAAAGAAGAAAAACTAAAATGAGAAGCTTTTTGTTCTTGGGACTGCAATAAATTTCCTGTGAGAAAGAAGTATGAACTAGTTTACCTAAGAATTGTAATTATCTATAAAATTCCCTAAAATCTCTATTGTATGCATTAATGTGAACATAACTAATTTGGGAAAGTAAATATTCTCAAACTAGAGCTTTTGCAGTAAAAATTTTTTTTAAAATATCAGTTTTTCTTTTACTATTTTTCATGGGAGATTATATTCAGTGATTTTTTTAAAGTAGTTACACTTTTTTCTTAAAATTGTAGAGCTCTGTAATTGAAATATTATCTTTTTTCACATTTTTAAGAAACAGAATTCCAGTTAACATTTAACAATTAATAAAATGGATTGAGATGTCACCTGCTTTTAAACATTGAGCATTTCCACTAGCTGGCCACTAGATGGAGTAGAAGCAAATAAATTATTTCAACCACCTGTCTGATTTTCTTTCAAACTGTCAGATGTGAGATCATGAAAGATGTATATATATGTTTCACTATAGGGAAAAACAAGCAAAATATGAAGGGAAAAGCAAACAATTCTAGAAACTTTTGGAAAAATCTTATGTACTGCCAACACTTTCAAGTTATCATATACATGTCCCAAGAATTTAGATTTTATGTAATAAAAAGACATACCTCATAATCTATAATTAGATTATTTCCTCGACTGGAAAACCATGGTGGTGTATGCTCTTTGGCTTAAGACCAAAGAATGCCAACTATATTGTCTTTAAGTGCTAAGTGGACTGGTTTTCTCAAAGGCATTAGTTTGCTTATTAGGAAGATGGTGGCTGACTTTAACTTTTGCTTTATATATTTGTGTAAGGGTGTGTATAAATTTGCAGGTAAAGGTTTGTTACTTACAGTCACAATTATATAGCTTTCTCTATATATCCACATGTAAATACATATATGTACATATAACACATATATACATACATATGTGATAATTTTGGCAACTAGGTATTTGAAGGCCAATGCTGAATCCACGCATGTAGAATACTAAGTTACTTGTATCCTTTTCTTATTGTAGACTTGAGTAACTTAGAAACTGATGTTTCTATGACCTAGGCTTTGGTTCCAGGTCTAACACTAACTAGCTTTAAGATCTTGATCAAATCCTTAAAATTCCAATTCTTTAATTTACCTATCTTTACAATGGACTCAAAGATTTTTATAGTTGCTTCTACATAACAGTATATGATATGGCCTATAAATTTAACGGGGCTCTCTTTAGCTCTTGAATTCCTGAATTCAGAAATATTTGAAATCCAACAGTCCGTGACAAAAATAGCCATAAATGCTGAGATTAAAAAATACTCAACAAATTTGCAGGAATAGGTTTACTTACTGTCACAGTCTTAGCATCCATCTCGGTGAATATGAATTCTCCCCCTTCAAAGTCGTCATTCATGTATAGGAGAGCACTACAAAAGGAAAGAGAAACCAATTGTACTATTATATGCTTGCAACAGCATAATCTTAGAATCTTGAAGACTGATGACCTACTGACAAACCTGAAATGGTACATTTCCTTTGAACTAGTCATTGAAATAATTGATCCTCCAAACTCTTGAAAAGTTTGGGTTATTCCTCTGAAGTGTGTATTTATTCTACTTATATTAAATTCTAATCATATTTCAAAGCTTATCTCACATTTCACTTCTTCCGCAGAAAACCTGGATAGATTTAATTTAATCTAGCCCTTTGAACCTGCCGACACTACTGATAACTCTCTTCTTCCCTTATATAGTAGTAACTCTAAAGGATTTTTTTTCCCCCTCTTAATGAGGGGAGAGTTCCCTATGGAATTGCCAAGACCTGCACATAGAGGGCGCTCAATAAATGTTTCTGAGTACAGCGCAGTGTAGTAGTATTAACATTATATGAAAAGTGGCTACAACGCCTGACTCTTTAAACACTAAAATAGCTTTCAGTAAGATAAGACGCCTTTTTCTGCCGAGTTTCTCAATTCTTATTTATAAAATGCATAGTTCTTCAGAGGTCTGAATAATAAATATGTGATGTGATAAGATCCCTATGTGAATTCATCCCTTGTGTTCTCAGGGTTTACACAATTCACAAGGAAAGTGTTTCAGTCAAACAGACAAACAAAAACTTTTACTTTTTATATTTTAAAAAATGGATGCTTTATGGACTAAAATGAAAATATGCCTAATGTTTAAGATTAAAATGAGATGATAATGTCATTTCTCAGTTCCAGTGGCTGCTTCAGGAGACTGCCTGAGAACCTCTGCTTCAGAGAGGTGGACATGATGACACAGGCAAAGCACAGCAGCTTTCTAGTTTGCATGGGTTCTTGATAAGTGTTGGGAAAAGGCTTCACTTTGAAGCAGGGGCCAGCTCTACCTGTAGTCTCGAAACGTATAAGCGGGAGGTTCCTTCCAGCATTCATTGGCCTCTGGATCCAACAGGCAGTTGTCAGCATGAATGGGATGGCTAAGGTCATTTCTCCTATCCTGTTGACCTGCCAGAGAAAAGAACAGGGGAGAAGGAGAGATGAAGTGCAGTAATTTCCAACAACAACAACAACACTGACAACCTGACTATCTTCTCCCACTTCTGGTGTACTTAAAAAATGTGAGGAGACAGAAGACAGAACAGAATAGATGAAAGAACAGTGGACAAGCAGTCAAAAGATTCGGGTCTGATTTTGATATGAACTTGATGTGAAACTCTGTGCAAGTTACAACTGTCTCTTCAGCTATAAAAGTTGTCTGATATAAATAGACAGGTACAAATTCCAGGCATTTCATGGGTTGTATTTCATGTGAGGCAGCAAAAGGATGAGGATAAAATAGAAACATTAGAAAAAAAAAAAAAGGATTTAATTCAGCTGAAACCTTCCAAGTGTAAAAGTCTGCATCTGTGACATTATCCTTTCCCTCCTTATCAGGTGGATGCAAGAGAAGACAGAAAAATAACGAAGAGCAGGAAGTGAGGTCTCTGCCTTTTTAAGAACATTTCTTTCAATAATCCCTTTGTTTTTCATGCTTCCACTCAATGCTTATGGACATAATGGCAACTGTGATGTCCATGCTCCTGGTTCCCCAAAAAGAGAAACCGAGAGCAGAAAAGCATCTTTCTGCATGACTTCAGCAATTAGGGAAAAACAGGTTTGCAAAGGAAAATGTGCAGAGTGAGAGTCTTCTGGAACTTCAGGAAACCAAACAGGAGAAAACGAGGGAAGCAAAAATAGGACTCCTAAGCAATTGTTGTTTTAGGAGTCTGGAACTTTTCTAAAATGTTAGTCCAAAATGCAATAGGACTTTGTTTTGCATTGTTTTTGTTCCCACTGCATTGTGGGTAGGCGAGAGCAAGTTCAGACTCTGGAATCTCACCAGACAGGGCTGTTCGGCAGACCATGTGTGTATAGGAAAAATACAGGGTTGAGTTAAGCATAAAATAAGATTCTACAATCTTTCGAGCCTTCTCACTGATGTCATAAAACAGGCGGGCACTCTTCAGTGGGACTCGACCTTCATAACCAAACTGAAAAAAAAAAAAGAAGAACATTAGAAGCCACTGGGTTGATTGGAAAACTTGAGAAAAATAGGCAATAGGTTTAATTAAGCCAATAAAGGATGATCATCTCTGTGTTGACTGATGGGAACACTACATGCTTGTGGATTCGGGTTAGGACAAGGAGCCATTGGAACATACTCTTCCCAATCACAGAGGGAAAGTTAAGAGCTAATTGCTTCCTTCCCGCTTCTAGCATAATGTGTTCACATTCCTCTCTAACAACCCTTCTTGCAGCAGAAAATAACTGCTTGTTTGGGTATGTTTTCACTATTAAATCATGAGCTCCATTTAATCTTCACTCTACATTTTTATTCTAAAGTACTGCCACTTTTTATACAAATAAATAGTACAGGGCTTGTATATTTCTTGCCAGGTATACATTTAGGAAATGAAAAGCTTGATAAATTGATGGCTGAATGAAAGAATAAAGGAGTGATAAAAAACAATGAAGTTTCCATTTCATACACGTTTCCTTCAACTGTTCTGATAGGCTTATATTCTAAACTCTTCTCGTTCCTGTATCTGCCATTTACAGAAACCCTAGATTGACACTTAGGTACCCAAACCCCAAAGAAGTTAATGCTTTACTTTCAGTGCTTTCAGGACAGTTGCACCTTCAAACTTTTCATTGGGTGTATGGGGTGAAGTTTTTCCTCTGTATCCATCACCAACAAGCATGATTCCCTGAAAGCAGATACAAGAGATTCTTTATCAGTGATATCTATGAATTCCTCAGGTCTCTATTTCTGCCTTGGCTGCCAGAAACCTGAGAACCATAGTCAATCTTCAGAGCCATTCCCATTTTATTCCAGGTCCCTGGTATAATAACTTCTATCAATTAAAAGACACGTCTTTATTTAATCTTCGCTCTAACATTAAAAAAAAAGATACTTTTTATAGAAATAGAATGTAAATGATTGATATATTGGTTACTTATTGATTAAAAGGAAAGGATTTCCCTAGCAACTTTATATAATAGGCAGGACCCATGCTGGATGGCTGATGCCCTAGGAATTAGGCTCCTGGCTATTCTAGATACTACCTGGAAAAACTAAAATTATCCCAGTCCAAAGGCTATGAAAGTGCCTCCACAACAATCAACAATTTTCTCCTAAAGAGACGTCAGGCCTGTTTCCTGGCTCCAAATAAGACCAGGACCAAAGCTATCCAGGCTCCTGATAGGCCAACATGGCAGGCTCCCCTCTCCCTTGAGGTCCTCACACTGGCCACGCTGTGGAGCTCCCGGCACTGCTCTTCTGACAGGACGTTATCCAGGAGAACCCTCTGGGTCCCATTCAGCTGCTCTGAGTTGTAGACGAATGTGATGTTCTCGTAGAGCAGAGGACCACCTGAAGGCAGAGAGCACAGTGTGTTCCCTGTTACTTCTGTCCCCCAAATGAAGCACAGAGCACCCAACAGCTTTCCATGAGCAGTTTGGGAAAGTCATTTTCCTCATGAATATGTGCAAAGACAAATTACAAATTTGGAAGCTTGATAAACACGATATGGATTCAGGAAAAAGACATCCGATTGCCAGGTTTCCCCATAGTATCATTAGACTATATTACATTTGTGTAGAAATTTGAGGTGATAGAGTATTTTGATTCCAGTGTTGATCCTGAAAAGTAGACTGAGCATCTGATAGGATTCTCCTCTGAGAAGACCCACCCTTCTCCACCCCCTCACTCATACCTCTGTAACGGTATCACAGGCGATTACTTAACTGCATGTTTGTGTCCCTCAGGCATGACTTGTACACTTCAGTTTCACTGGTGTCTACAGCAATGCCTTCATCAAGTAACTGAGGTAGTCCCACCCATGTCACCTGATTGCTTCCCAGTCTTCTTTCTATTGCTTAACTGACCCTAGGTATTCTTGTTTTGGGAGGATTTTTCTCTTCTCTCTAGGCAAAATGTTTACATTCCTTTTTTGGCACAGGAGAATTTCTTGTAGATAGCTGCTCTCTCCCCAGAGAAAGCCCACAGCTTTATAAAATTAGCCCCACATAATAGGCTCTTCAGAGGGTGAAGCTTTGGGGGGTCACATTTTAGGTTGTGAAATTACAAAATCCAGACCTGAAAAGGTCTTTTCCTCACAGAGTGGGACTAAAGGACAAAGCCTGTGTTTGTGGTGGTGAAGAAATCATCAGATGTAGCAGAGTGCAAACATCTTGAAACAGAAAACTGAACAGAAAAATCAAAACAAACAAACAAACAAAAACCCCAGTGCTTTTTTATACTTTATCATATATCCTAGGGGCCTGATATGTGTCATAGCAACAGCTCACAATGAGGGGAGTGAGAATAGGAGAAAGATACAACTCCTTCCCCACCTCTAGCATTGATCTAAAACACAGCTGTGGAAAGAAGAAGAGACAACTGAAATTGGCATCTGCTTTATCTCTATGAAATGGATTAGACAATCTAGGGAAGAACACCAACTAAGTGTTTATTAGTCTAATTAGGATAAAAGATTCACTATAGCCTATGATTAATGGAATATTAAAAAGAATAAGACAGTGTTTCTTAATCTAGAGTAATGTATGGCTGGTTATCTGTTAAAGCAAAAGTTCCCTAAGGCGCTCTAGTGCTGACAAATTATTTTCACTCTAATTTTACTTCTTTATATGCAATCATGAAACTATGTTTACATTATTTTTATGGTTTCATATAACTATCAAACAAAAACCAAATTATAAGACCAAATAGAAGCAAGACCATATACCAACCTAAATTCAAATTAACAGATGAAATGGTTAATGCTATTTTCTGAAAATAACAAGCCACATTCCACATTTAATGTTCTACTAACTGATCTAGTCCAGGTCCTTTTGCGCCAGCATTCCTTATAGGACTTTTGGTGTGTAATTACTATTCTACCACAACGTTTATCTATTCAAGTGACTACATAATCTTCATGTACCATGATGAATTTTTGACTTCATCTGGCCACAATATGTTATGTATAAGCTCATCCTATTTCATTTGTTGTTGGCCTTTAACCATTGAAATATTATCAATTGGTGCCATATAACTGTGCCCATGCCCACTGAGATAGGAAATATCACAACAGCACTTGGCTATAAAGTGGTCATTTAGATGATCCACTAATTGCCTCTCTTAACTTTTAAAATTGTCATCAAAATTTATAAATATAGAATTTCTTGGATTCTTAGAATATATCCGCAAGCTACAGTTTCAGTATTACATCTTTTGGTTGAATAGAAAAATAAAAGTTGTTCTACATTTCAATGTTTCTCAAATTTTGTTTCATAGAAAAGTTTTGGGGAAGTACTGGGCTAAATAAAATATAAGAGGACTTCTTATAGTTTTTAATATGTGAACAGGCCTAATGAATTTCCTAAGTAGTGATTTAAGATGCAGCAGTTCTTAGCTATAATGGAACAAAATACTCTTTCATCCTTTCTTTCCTCCTTCCCTTCTTTCTTTCCAATGGCAGAAAGACTCTAAGATGGTCCCCAATGATTACTGCCTCCTGGATGCATACCCTTGTGTACTCTGTTTCCCATAAGTGTGGGTGGGACCTGGAACTTGGTTCTAGTCAGTAGAATAAGACAAAGTAATGAGCTATCACTTCTGTAATTACGTTACATAAAACGGCAACTTCTGTCTTGCTAGTAGACTTAGTCTATTGCCTTCTCAACCTGCATGCTCTGATGACACAAGTGGCTGTATTGGAGAGGCTCACACAGCCTGGAATCAAGGGCGTCCTCCAGCCAGAAACCAACTAGAAACCAAAGGACCACAGTCCAATACCCTTTAAGAACTGAATTCTACCATCTAACTTAGAAGAAAAAGCTTCCTAGCCAATCATAGGAAGAGACCTCAGCCCTAGTCAACAACTTGATTGAAGTCAGTGAGTGACCCTGAAGCCAAAGACTCTTTTAAGTTCTCCCCCAGATTCTTGACCCATACAAACTGCGAGATAACAAATGGATGTTGTCATAAGCTGCTACATTTGTGCTTTTAAAAAACAAACAAACAAACAAACAAACAAACAAAAAACCCATAGTCTTTTTTGTCTCCCACTCCCCTGAACTTTTTAGCTTAGAACACAGTTTGGAAAAGGTTTCTCTAATCTATTTAGTTGATTAAGATTCATAGTCAAGTTGAGGCAGGACTTACCTCGTATATTTAGAAAAGTGAACTGCATATTCCACTACAATTCAGAAATATAAAAAGAAATGTACATTCAACAAGAAAGATAAGATACTTGTAGGTTAACTTAAAAGCATTTGCTAATATAAAAATAAAAAAGAAATGACCGATAAGGGACTTAATGAACTAAATTGATTTACACTTGGCCAAGTTTTCCTCATTTTCTATATTGAAGAGATATACTTTGGATATAATTAGCTTATTTTCAAAATAATATACACATTCTTTTTAAAGTTAGAAAAATTAAGACATTTAGAAAAATACCTATCACTCTTAAACTCCATATAAGTATTTATTATTACTATCATTATTATTGATGTAATAAACTATACCTGGAATACTATGTTAGATTCTGACTGAGAGCTCTTAATAAGAATATGGCATAATGGAGTATATTTAAAATAGGACTACTTGGATATTGACAATTCCCCTACCAAGTCATAAGTAACATGCAAAGATTAGTTGAAAGAAGATTGTAACATGAAGTCTTAAATATGTAAATCTTAATGAGTTCAAGAATAATCTGTATTAGAAATCTGCCTGTCTTATATCTAACATAATTAAGTATAGCATTTTATACAGATATTTATCACACATACACATTTAGCAAAAACAACCAATTACCCATCCACTGAGAGAAAGAAAAAGAAAAAAATAAACCCTGCCATTCAAAAGGCAAATCAAGCATCCTACAGATGACTAGTAGCACACCAGACAGAGGAAAACATTAAAATACAAATACAAATGTAGTCCAATAAGTTGTGGTTTCTGGGATCTAATTTGATGGCTTCAGCCAATTCTTAACCACAGTCCAAGAGGATTTAGTTAAACAACTCAATTCTTCTCTCATTCATAAAGTATGTGCTTGGCTCTGACTCTCTGGTTGCAACAAAGAGGGATCATCTCAGAAAGTACTGCTTTGTGCTGTCTGTGGGTTGGCAAGAAGAATCATTTTACCAGAAATATCATATTGTCATAGAAGGCATGATGGGGATGTACAGACAAACAAGCTCTTATATAAGCACAGCAGTTTACGGTTTACAAAAACCTTTTTATGCTCCACCTGTCCTTCAAAATCAAATTAAATATCACCGCGGCTATGAAGTCCTTCCCTATTTCCTCAAAAAATGTACCATCTATCTTTAACAGATAAGGATCAAAGAGCCCAGAGAGATTGAGTCTCCAGTTCTCCCTCACTGGGATACACATCAGACTAAGATAATCTCAGAAACAAAGTCTGCTGATTCCAAGTACAATACTATGTCTACTATACTCCCTCTGACTCTGGAATCATTATCCATCATTACTTTTGGAAAGCTGGTGAATGAAAAGAGAACAAGTGACAGAAATGTTTTTAGTAAGTTACCACACATGTTCCATGAACTGGAGTCACTGTGAGATATAGCCCTGGGTCACTGCATTTTAATGTTTAGGAACTATCCAGTGTGAACACTACTACATAGTGTTAGGTGTCCAGAGTAGATAACAATCTCTTTGTAGAAAAGGAGAAAAGCTAAAATATACTTTATTTTGTGATGCATGCATTCTGTTTGCCTCTCTAACATCTGTTTTTATTGAGACTAAGATATGAACATGTTTTCTGGTTGGGAACTTTGCCTCTATCTACCACTGTTCCTAATTTAGACCCTAATTAGACCTCTGGTGATTGGACAGAAGGTTTTCTAGTTGTGGTATGATAAGAAGTATATGTGGTTTTTGTCCCTAGTTCCTGGCACAGAGTTCCTAAAACTCTTGAACCTTCTCAAGTGATAGTAGTATCTTTTGTTGTTCATAATGAGTCCCTTTTGATCACACCGAAGTTTATGTTGATAAGGTGGCTTAGGGTAGAGCCCCTAGATAAACTCATAATGGGGTTGGTCACCAGAAAGACCAAGAGATTAGAGAAGTAAAACTTCCAGCCACATCCACAGATTTCTGGGAAGGAGGATAGGGGGCTGCAGATTAAGTTCTATAAAAACTTTTAAACAATAAGATTTGATGAGTTTCCAGGCTGATGAACATATGGAAGTGCTGGGAAGGGCATGGAAGCTTTCTCCCCCACACCTTCATATCTTACCCCAAATACTTCTTCATCTAGCTGTTCTTCTGTATTGTTTATAATATCCTTTATAATGAACCAGTAAATGTTCCCTGAGTTCTGTGAGCAGCTCTAGCAAATTAATCTAACTCAAGGAGGGGGTCATAGAACCCAGTTTTGTAGCCCTTTGGTGTCAAAAGCCAAAAGTATAGGGGACAATCTACTCTTGGGATTAGCATCTGATGTGGGGCTCTCTTGTGGGGCTGAGTCTTTAACCTGTGAGATCTGACACTATTTCCAAGTAGAAAGTGTCATAATTGAATTGAATTATTTGACACTCAGTTGGTGTCCACCAGGGAATGCTTGGTGGGCAGCACAAATGTTTTGTATTGTGTGAAAGTACAGTAGATAAAAACTGTTTGCTATTTTCTTTCAGAATAATAGGTTCCCAGATAATATTCTAAGATCCATAAGCCAAAACAACTA